AACCCAATAATATGAAAATTATAATTAATACTGTTTAAGTACAAATCAGTTAAATTTGTTTTAAGACCTCTAGCATTTTTATAATAAATACTCAGCGAATTTCTACCACTCAATTTTTGATTTCCGTGTTTGTTTTTGGTATTTTAACTACAATATTTCTCTCTCGGTAGGATTTCTAAGTTTTGGCAAAAATTCGCGTACAAAAGCCCCAGGTGGCCCTTAGATCTTTGTAATTGTTTTAAGAGCTCCGTCTACTTTAGGCGATGATACATATGAATACTTCTATCCTAACTGTAGTTAAACTTACGGATATAGATATTATCAATTTTTCAACGCGACGAAGCGTAAGACTGTATGTCCTCAGCCGAGGTATCCTTGCCAAATCTTCTAATGAATATACATGTTTAGCTGGCATTATCACCAAATAGTTTTTAAGAGGATGTTGACAGTTTATCACCTTGAGGGCAAGGCGAAGAAAGATTTATATCGGCAGTGAAGTACTCTTCTGAACAGAAGAACTAGGTATTACTTGATCGGAAGGACGTGTGCGCTTAGGGGCAGGCTTGGAAGATTTGGGAGAATTATTTAGGCACTTAAAAGATTTGAACAATTGTTCGTAATGCCTAAATTTTTCGATGAAGGTTTCAAGAACTCGACCGATTTCATTGAAACCATTGCGCGTCTGCTTAAAAACTTAAAATAGATTTATTTCAATCGATCTACAATTTAAGCAGGACCAACGCAATCTCTTACCGTCATGACTAGAATTTAAGATTCTACCTGTCAGTCCCACACAGTTCAGATGGGAAAGCAGATCACACAGCCAGCGTGAAATATAGAAATATATGAAATATCTGACTCACTTTCAATGTTACAATTTAGAAAATTACATGAGATAATTATAAAACAATAAAGATTAAAAGAAGATTAAATAAAAACAGTAAGTAAAACAAAAACTAATAGGTATATAATATAATTGTAATTAGTGTAATAATATAATTTGTTAATAATAATTACAATTAAAAACTAACACAATTAAGATAACAATTGTTAATCAAAACCAAGCACTGTGAAAACGCAATGTAGCGAGCAGTTTTAGATGCACTGGAATAATTAAAAAAATAAACGCAACAAAGCTGTAAATAGAGAAAGAAAATGAGATAAATAATAAGAAAAAATAAAATAAAACAAAATGAAACAAAAGATGACTCGGCAATCAAATAACTAATAAACAATAATTAAAATTATTAAATCTGAATATTTGCAGCAAATAAAACACAAAAATTTACCGTCTAAAAAAATTACAGCTTTACAGCTTGAAGTTTTGCTACATACATGAATGAATTCAACTACTCCAGGTGAGGTAACGTTCATCCAGAAGGTCCACCAAAGTTTTACATCCCTCCCGAAACTCCACCAGTAGCACTTCTTCAGCGGAATGGTTCAACGGAAAGTGAGCCTCCGGGAATAGCTTCAACGACTCCTCACTGATCATGGTCCAACCAACATCATTTCTCCACTTACTCCAGTGGAGTAGAATTCTTCGCGAGAATGCGCCCAAACCATGAGAACTCATGACAGCCCATTACACTTCCACAGAATTCTTTCCACGAGGCGCTCTTGGCTTTACTTAACTCAGACTTGTATATCGTCAGTGCTGCCTTATACAGCGCTCGATCGTCACTAGAGCCACTTTTACGGGCTTTGCTGAAAAATCTTCTGTTCGAAGATCTGCTCTCTGCTAGCTTCGAAGGATTTGGCTATTCTAGATTCTTCTAGCTTTCTGGCTTCAGCAATTACATGAAACTGGAACCTCGTTGCATGTTTCGATACCGTTTGGCGAACCATTTTGATACGAAGGTCACGGTGTAGAACCCAATTGCAAAAGTACCATGGGTGCGCTTCATGTGCGCTTTCCCCTAGGTTTGTGTATCATAAGGATTTCGGATACCTTCCATGTCATTGGGACATATCTGGGTTTTAAGCATGCGTTTATTATAGATTCAAGCTTGGTTAGTGCTTTGTGCGATAGATTTTTAACTACAGGGGTACTTTTAGGTCCAGGACACTTTTTAGGTTCATACTTATATAGTTTAAATTACATTTACAACTTCTTTATTTGTTCATATCGCGAAGCTTTCAGTTGTGGTAGTGTGTGGACTAAATGTTTTAGCTAATTTTTCTGAGAAGATTTCCGCTTTTCCCCTGTCGCATTTTGTCTAGTAAGCATTGGGCTTTCTAAGAGGAGGATTTGACAAAATTGGTTTCCTTATATTTTTAACTGCTTTCCGAAAGGATATGCTTGGTGTAAGTATCTTGATATAGGTTGAAATGTTTTGATTTTTAAATTATAATAAAAGGCTTTCCAATAAGAATGTTATGTTTTTTTTTTTAACAAAGCACTCTAATTGTTCAGGAAATCTAAATGTTTTTAATTTAGTGTGAAGTACAATCGATACAATTAAGTTCTGAATATAACATCATTCAAATGACCTCCACGGCTTTATTGGGGTGAATTCGATAAACCCAATTTTCGAGTACTTTTGCCACTAAATCAAGTCGTATGTCATAAATAGTACGTTCAATATTGACTTCTAAAGCTTGAAGCGAGTCTGGTTTATTGCCTAAGACCAATGCCTTCAAATAACCCCACAAGAAGTAGTCTAATGGTGTCAAATCACAACTTCTTGAAAGCCATTCAATGTTACAATTTCACGAAAGGTGGTAATGCGGGAACGATCATTTTGATAATAAAATTGATTAATTTGTAAACGTTGTTCTTGCGTATATCTTTTGATGATGAAATTGTAAACACTTACAAATCATATCATGCATATTGGAAAACCCGATATTTTGTAGCTAAGAAATTTAGTTATATTGTTCAGTTATTTTTTATACAGAGGAAATCGAGTAGTTTCCCATCTTTTAAGAAGTTTTCTCATATTCTTTATGAAATCCAAAATGTTTGCTGGGTATTTAGTATTAAAATATTTATGTTTCATAACTGTAGGGGTTTTCCAAGCCGATTCTTGATTAATTTTCGTAGATTGATCGATTTCATCTTCAAACATATCTATAAGATCAATATATTTGACCAGCATAACTTTTAAGTCCCAGTCCGTTTGTTTGAAAGATATGGCGGTTACTCGATTTGTTTTAATGAATTTTCCGAGAAGCTTTAAAATTATCTCTGTATACAAGGTTAGTTCCAAAGTAAACAGCGTTAGAATCTGCTATCTTTTATCGACTTCCAGTAAAAATTTCATTACATTTCATCTATTGTATGTGAAGTTATTATATATCGTTTTAAGTGTCAGTACGTTTTTGTCATGGGTGCGAAAATGAGCTTCGAACAAAGAGCCAACATTAAATTTTGTTTTAAAATTGGTAAAACTTCAACCGAAACGTTGCAATTGATGAAACAAGTTATAGTGATGATTGCCTATCCCGTAGCAGAGTGCACGAGCGGTTTCAACGTTTTCAAAGTGGTCATGAGGACATAAATGACGATGAACATATCGGCCAACTAAAATCCGTGATCGCAGTCAAAAGTGAAGACAATGCTGATTTGTTTTTATGATTCCAAGGGTTTTGTCCACAAAGAATTTTTTCCACCCGGCCAAAACGTTAATGCGGTATTCTACCTTGGAGTTTTGAAGCGTTTGGTGCGAATAACGCGAAGATGGCGTTTGTTGCACGATAATGCGCCGTCTCATCGATCAACGCTTGTGGCCGATTATTTGACCAAAAATCACATTTTAACAATCAATGACTCCCGTATTCACCTGATATGGCACCGTGCAACTTCTATCTTTTCGGAAAAATGCATTTACCGATGAAAGGAAAGCGTTATGCAGACGTGGAGGCCATTCAAAAGGCTTGCACCGGCATACTGGTGGTCATACCGGGCAACGAGCTAAAACACTCGTTCGACATGCTCCTGGACCGTGCAAAAAGCTGTATTAAAGCAGAAGGAGACTATTTTGAATAAAATTATTTGATTTTGCCGATAAAACCATTCGTTCTGTATTTTTTTTAAAAGTCCTGTTTACTTTGGAACGCACGTTGTATAAATACGTTTTGATATTATGTCTACGTGGGTTACATATATACAGTATGTACTGCAGTAATACTTATTTGTCCAAGACCGATATGGTCGTAGCTGGAAATGCAGGGACGCAATACTAGTTTCGCGGTGAATATTCACTATGTTATTTGGGTGATTGGAGCAATATGTCTTGCATTTTGAGAACTTAACGAAAGTCTTATTTGTAAAATAAGTTTCTTATTTAAGTCAATATCAACTTTTTCAGTGTTTGTGTAAGCCATTAGCATTTCATGTCATAACTTTTATGGGTCTCAATTTTCTACCCTATTTTCGTTCGCATCGAATAATTCGTGTAAATAAATTTCAGTTTCGCTACGTGATGCTTTATAAATTATCTCGATTAGGCTATCTTCAATCAACCATTGAAGTAAAAAACACAATTATAGCACTTGTCGATAGACCGCCTTCGCTCGGTGTTGTACATCAGCAACAAAGTCTTTTAACGGTAAAATTAAAGATTTTCTGACTTGCTTGCTATGTTTTTATTTAAATAGAAATTAAGTGACGCTCGTGTACAAAATAGTTTCGAGCTTTTAGTAATTAAGCACTGAATTTATTAAATTTAGTTACACTCACCGTTAAAAGCGTTACTAAAAAACCAAGTTGATCGAATTTAGGCGAAACGAAAGATGCGTTGTGCTTCGGACGAATCGATGCTAAAAAGAGCGATCGGGATCCTTCTTTTAGTCCCTTATATATCTGTTGATGTCTTTATGGTGGTGTGATCATGGTGATGTTGTATTTGTGTACGTGTTGGTGCATGGTGTAGTGATGTGGAATGTATGGTAAGTAGGTGTGGTGGTGGGGATGTGAATCGGTGTGCTGTGACAGTTTCTTATGGTGAGGGGGATTGAGTGGTCATTTAGCCATCTCGGCCCCCCTAGGCAAATGATTAGACTAGTAGTCGCTGCAGCTGTTGGAGCGTTGCCACAACGTTGCTCAGACCCGTGGAACGACGTGGTTGCGGTCTAGGCTGTCGACGCCGTATTGATTCCGCGGGTGTACCGCACGAGCTGAGGGTTGAGGTCTTGTTGCGCGGCTTCGAAGGGTAGGTGGCCGACCGGCGACGCGCCTCGAAGTGCGATGAAGTAGCGTGTGATGTGGTCTGCTGCAAGTTTGGCACAGACCCGTGGACTCACACGCTTGAGTCGCATGTGTACGCAACAGGCAGTTTAGACAATGCCCATGTGCCTGGGCAACTTGCTGTCGTTGCAACGGTCGCATACCTCTAAAAATCTCACAATGTTGCAGGCGGTGTGGGCGCCGACATTTTTGACATCGTATACGATTTGCCTCTAAAGGCTGTGATGATAGCGTCGGAGGTGGTCGCGTGCCACCACGAGGAGCTGGTGCCGATACCGGTGTCGTTGCAGGTGCTGTTGCAGGGTTAGTTGCAGCTGCAGCTCGGGGCGTTGGGGAAGGCCCAGTGCGTGTCAAATTGGTAGCCGACCACACAGTTGGCGTTGGAGTCATTGGCGTATCCACATCCATGTTAATCTGTATAAAAGAGTTGTTTGATTATGCAGATTTGTCATATAAACGATATGGATGTCGTGCCACGCTATGTGGCATGAATGAGTCGTCGTACTGATCGACCGTTTTTAATTAGTTATTTGTTATTTTTAACGGTTATTAACGTGTTTTTCGGATTTTGCTTCTTGATTTGATTATTTTATTGTATTGCGGTAGAATCGGTTGATTGTTTGCGATTTGCTGTGTCGCTATTATCGACGGTTGGTAGAAAACATAGCTTTACGAGTGGTCTGGTGAGCGTTCCGCTTTGCATCCGAAGATCAACTACTCGTATGTGACCGTCGGAGCCGTAATGCAGCTTTTCTATGCACCCAAGCCGCCATTCGGTAAGCGGTAGACAATCATCATGGATGATGACACAATCTCCAAGTTTTGGTGCTTGTTCAGGAGTCTTCCAACGGTATCGTTTATGGAGATCCTTTATGTATTCTTCTTTTCATCGGCGGCTGAAATCGTGATGGAGAATTTTAATTCTTTCCCAGCGCTTTAATAAGGATAGCGACTCCACGTCTGGTTCAGGTATGGCCAGAAAGGGTGCTCCTTCGAGAAAATGCCCTGGAGTTAGGGCTGTGAAGTCAGAGGGATCTTGCGAGAGTGTTGTGAGTGGCCGTGAATTGAGAACGGCTTCAATTCGAATTAATAAGGTGGTGAATTCTTCATAATTGAATTTGTGATTTCCAGCTACTTTTTTGAAGTGGGATTTGAAGCTTTTTACAGCTGATTCCCATAAACCACCCATATGAGGAGTGTTTGGGGGGATGAATTGCCAAATAATGCCTTGGGGCGCGTACTTTTGTACAATCTCAGGTGAGACTTGTTTGATAAAGTCCACAAATTGTTTTTCGGTGGCTCTTTGAGCGCCGATAAATGTTTTACCATTATCGCTCATTATCTTCGATGGAAAGCCGCGTCGACCGACGAAGCGAGCAAATGCCGCAAGGAAAGCCTCCTTCGTCAGATTAGTACAAAGCTCAAGGTGCACTGCTTTTGTCGTAAAACAGACAAAAACAGCCACATAGCCTTTCATCAGAGTAGGAGACCTTAACATGGACGCCTTTATTTGAAGAGGACCAGCAAAATCGACACCTGTGATGGAGAAAGGCAGAGCAAAGTTGCAGCGTTCTGGAGGAAGTGCTGCCATAATATGTGTTCGCATCTTTTGCTTGAGCGTGGTGCAGATTTTGGACAAATAAATGCACTTCTTTATTTGGGGCTTAAGTCGGAGAATGTAAAATTCCTGGCGGACCATATGTTGTATGAGACGATGTTCGGCATGAAGCATTAATATGTGGATATAATTGATGAGTAATGTGGCAAGTTGAGACTTCTCTGGTACAATTATGAGATGGCGTCGTTATACGTTAGGCTTGAATTGGCAAGCCGGCCATTCACACGAAGAAGACCTTTTGTGTCGAGGAATGGGTTTAAAACTAAGAGGGGACTTCTCTTGTCAATAGGTTTTGATTCTCTTAATAGGAATATATCGCGGCTGAAGTGGCGCGCTTGAGTATATGCGATAAGAGCGACCTTTGCTTTTTGTACGTCTCGATGCGTCACTGTATCGCATTGGGAATATAATGAGGTTACTCCCTTAATTTTAATTTTGAGTCGCTTTATGAACTTGAGCATATAAGCGATTACCCTAAGTGCTCGGGGGTAAGAGGAAAATCGCTCGAGGATGTCATTATTATGCAATGTTGTGTGAAAGGAGTCGATTTTTTGACTCTCTGAGGCAAATATGTTACGCATGGGCGATTGCGGCCAAGAATCGGGAGATTCTATCAACCATCGGGGGCCACTCCACCATAGGGTGGTGGTGGCGAGGTGCAGGGGTTTACACCCTCTTGTCCCTAGATCAGCTGGATTGTCAGCACTGGCTACGTGTCGCCAAGTGGCTGATCCTACTAGGTCAAGTATTTGAGACGCTCGATTCGAAATATGCGTCTTCCATGCATGTGGTGGTTTTTCTAACCAGGCTAGTACAATTTCCGAATCGGACCACAGATATAGTTTGTATTTTGCCATGTTTAACCATGGATATTAGTTTGGCTAGTAGTAGCGCTCCACACAGTTCAAGTCGTGGCAGACTTATTGTTTTTGCTAATAGTAAGTGGCTTGTGTTCACAATGTCGCTTTGTGTGCGAACATATATAGTTGCGCAATATGCCTTTTCAGAAGCGTCACAGAAGCCGTGTAGTTCGACTTTGTGCTCTGATGCATAGTTTACCCATCGTGGGATTTGTATCTGTGAGATATCGTTTAGATTGTTCGCAAACTGGGACCACTTTTCTAAACGAAGTGGTTTTACTTGTTCGTCCCAGTCGGTTCCATCTAGCCATAATTCTTGTATTAGGATTTTGGCTTGTATCATAACTGGCGAAAGCCATCCTGCGGGGTCAAAAAGTTTCGCCACAGAGGATAGAATTTGTCGCTTCGTTATGGCGGATAATGCAGATATTGATTCTGTAGTGTATGAAAACTGGTCAGATATCGCATTCCATTGGATCCCCAGAGTTTTTGTTGTACTTTCCTTTTCGAATTTAAGGAATTAGTGTTCAACAAAATTTCTTTAGGTATGTCCTTTAAGATATTAGGGTGGTTCGCCGTTATTTTTTTTTACGAAACATTTGTCGATACATTTTCTCAACGTGCCCAATGAATACGTTTTTGAATATGCGCCAATTTAAAATGAGTAGCAATAAATCTGGTTGGAGCGTGGGTCCCGTAAATAGGATATCATTTAAGCCATTCCCCGGGCTGGTGAATCTTGATGCATTAAAGACAACTCTTACTTTAGTTGTTTTTTTTGTCTTGCTTTACCACTGCATGATGCGGCAAGTAAAATGAGTAGAATTTGCCGTTGATGATTTTTTCGCATGGGGTTACTTCCTCCATGTGGTCTAAATGGAGGTACTCTTCCAAAACTCCATCATATGCTGGTTTGAGTTCGCCTTTTTTAAGTAGGTTTTTTTCCATACTTTGAAACTGCTGTATTGCAGAGGTGCGAGAGTGACCTAAGGCGATTGTGTTGGGAAATTGTTGCTTTAGTGGTAGTCGTACGGCATACCGACCATTATCTGATCTAGTAGTTGTGGCTTTGTAAAAGTCTTCACGATACTGATCTTCTGGGGTTGTAATTGATATAGGGGGAGCTCTTCTAACTCCCAAAATTTTCTATATGAAAGATCGTTGTGATCCTTGGTCTATTAAGGCCCTAAGTTTAAACAGCTCTCCTCGGTGTTCGATGGAGACGACTGCTGTGGGTAGTAGGTAGTACCCTACATTTTCGCTGTGTAGCGTTTGAGTTTTTAATGCCTTTGAGCAGCATGGTGCTTCTTAGCAATTTTCGGGATTTCGCAACTAAACCCGTGGCTCTTTCATACTTGCGCTGTTTGGGGGTGAATTGGAAAAATCATTTATATGAAGCATAGAATGATGTCGTTTATGAAAATAAACGCAATTTAACTTGCCTTCCCACTGTTTTAGAGTATACGAACGTGACAAGCAGTTTGTGCAAAGTTTTTTTGTTCTCACAAAATTGTTTCTATCGACAATATTTAATTTTTTGAATTTATCGCAAGATTTAAGTTTATGACCTCCTCTACACAGTTCGCATGAAGTTTGTTTATACTGTTCGAATGTGAACGATTGATTTTTAAAAAGTTTCTATTTAAATTGTTGTTGCTACTGGTTTGGGGTCTATTGAAGCTTCTATTGAGGTCGTTTTAAACGTTTTTAGTTCTAACTAGTTTTTTCTCTATCCTTTCTGTTAGAAATTCTTTCATTTGCTGCCACGTTGGGCATTTTTTCCGAGATGAGAGCGATTGCTTCCACAAAAGTAACGATTTTTCTGGTAATGCCGCGGTGCATATATAATATTTACCATATCTGTATTAATATAATATTTTGTGTCGATATAACCGACAAGCAATTAGAAATTATAAATTCTTCACTTGTTTCCTTTTGAATCTTAGGTAAGTTCTTAGTATCGTTACTCGCTTATCGACCAATATTCTTTCATTTTCATATATAGATTTGTACCCACTGTATATGTGGTATATGAGCATAGGCAGATCGTATGCCGTATGTACAAGTGTGTATATGTATGACTGTGCACGCGAATTATGTCGAATTTACCGGCGGGAGCCAAAAAAAAACAACTATTCGTTTGTTGTTACTGGTTATGCTAATATAATTCGCTTATATTCTACAATAATGCTTACTTAGCTAAAGCTTGTGATTTGGTAATGCGAATGAATTTGAAATTTGAGAGTACAATTAAGAAATACGGGTTGCTGACACTTTGTGTTTAGGTTGCTAAAAATGCATTGTAGTCATTCTGACGAAATTGGAATTATTGGTGCAATTTGGTCATTGGCTCCAACAAACTTGTAGTTTGTCATCATTGCTTATTTTGGTTTTGGAACGTTGCGATGACGTAACCCCTCCTCCTCTTGATTGGAGACTCCCCTGAGTTTCCATAAGTATATTAATTTATACGGTTTTTAAAGATGTAGAAGTAAATTATTACGGCAAAAATTATTGCAACGATAATGATAGTAGTAGCGAATGTTGTCCAAATTATTGGTTTCTGTGTATTTCTGTGATATTCCAATTCTTTTATTTTATTTATATTTTCAATTTGTTGCACCATTAATTCTTCGAACATTTATATTTTCTTGAAATGAATAATATGTATTATTTATTTTTACAACTTCTTCTGTACTGAACATTAATTCTTGTGATATATTATTAGGAAGTGCTGAAAACATCGACTTTCTAACATTTATAATTTCATTCGGTATTTGAATAACAAAAATTATTTTACTATTTTTATACTGTGCTGAGTTAACTTTATATTTTGTAATTTAAACATGTCTATATCGTATTTTATGATTTCTTCTTTTGTTAAAATGTTTTCATTCATTATATTATATATTATTAAGCCTAGAAGCGGC